CCGGTGCTCCGGAGCATCTCCGCTCTTGGTGCCCGGGTACCTCCCCTGGAGCATCCTCGCTCTGCCCACGCTGCCAGAGACCCTCTGAGACCCGGCAAACTCGTCACACGCGTCCCTGGGAGGGTGGCAGGAGCCCTCCTGCCCCTTTTCGGAGCCTGGGTAAGGATTTTCTGTGATGAAGAGGAGGGAAGCTCGCAGCAGAGCAGGGGAGTGGAGGATTTCAGCTGCTGCTGCATCCTCCAGTCTCAGCCCCAGTCTCTGGCAAAGCCCCAGACTAATTTGGGAGAGCCGCAAATTCCATTTTAAATAATGATAATAACAACAACTATTAGTTTTTATAAGTAGTAAGTGTGGAGGGAAGGAGGGTGTGATGAGTACAGGAAAAAAAACCAAAAGGTGCCCAAACCACATCAGGTGAGGTGGGAAGAGAGCCCAGGGCAGTGCAGGGAACTCCAAAACCCCAAAATTTGGGCAAAACCCTTCAATTGGCCAAATGTGGAGGTTGTTTCATACCTTGAAGTGGAGCCTGAGCCATCAGAGCCCCTTCAGCATTTATTAACAACCCCCTGCTTAACACTACCCACCACCCAGAAAGACAGAAAACAGAGCAAAGGAAACCTTTTAATTGTAATTTACTTTATTATTTTGTAAATGTGAATTTTACAAAGCGTTTTACAATTAATGATCACGTTGGGTTGGGTTTTTTTTGTTTTTTTGTTTTTGATTTTTTTTAAATGGATTTTTTTTTTCATCATATGAAAACAGCTACGAGCACAGTTCCAGCTCGGGGTAGGGGAGGGGGGTCTTCATCTTTTCTCTCTTTTTTTTTTTTAGTTACTGATATATCGTGTCAGCCATGGCTACAAAATAACAGTCTGAACTATACAGAGTAAGAGCACATAAATACTAGTGAATAATGCACGATAAAAAATAAAATAAAATAAAATAAAATAAAAAAAAAAAAAGAAAAAAAGAAGCTAGCATCGTTCGTGGCTGAGACAGTTGAGGAACATAATTCAGTGGTACTGTGAGATTTCCTTACAGCACAGAAAGTATTTTTAACAGTCATGAATTACAGTACTACTTAATACCCTATGAAGACGCTTTAAAAACAACCTTGTACTTTAAGTCCTTTTTTTTTTTTCCCCAAACATTCTGTCCAAAGGATTAATGTTCTATTTGAATCAAGTGCCATCCAAATGTTCAAGTCAAAAATATTTATACATTTATACTCAGTTGTTTTTATTATTTATTAATTATTTTATTTATTTATTTTTCTTTATTCTTGTCTGCTAAAAATAGTATTGCAAGTTTTGGCTTTTTTTTTTTTTTTTTTTTCAACCTTGACATAAAAATCACGATTTTTTTTTTTTTAATTTTTTTTAATTTTTCGTGTGTGTGCAAAACGCTTTTTAACAGTGGAAGAAACTCGAGGAGGAGCGGAGGGGTTTGTTTTCCAATGTGAGTGTGTCCCACTCGTCCCCTCGCTCGCTCCCAGCACGGTTTGGAGAGCAGGAACACTTGGAACAGCAGTTGAATCCCGGGATGGCTGCGAGGGGAAGGAGGGGACAGCTGGGGACACTCTGGGGACATCCTGGGGCTCAGCCCGGCTTCCCACGGCTCCTTCTCCATCCGCAGCGAGCCTTTCCCAGCCCTTTTCCAGCGGGATCCGGGGCCAAGGGCTCCCACCCCGCATCCTCCGGGGAACTTCCAGAGGGAAATCCGGGCAGCCCCGGGAAAGGTCGGGAATGTCCCCGCGGGACAGCGGGGGTGGCGGAGGGTCATGCAGCCCCTCGGCAAAGCGGTGTTAATTAATTAGCGCTAACGAGGAGGAGAGGAGCTGGTCCTACGCTGCTGGGGAACTCGGGTGCTTTTACACTCTGCGCTCGTTAAAGGTGCTTGGTACAACTTTAGATATAGAATATACAGGTAATATTGCTAATAGTCAAGCATAAGAATAAAGGTGCAGACATACCATAAATACTGATGCTCTGATTTTACACTGTCAGACCTAGATGAATGCAGTTTCCTATTCACATTATAAAGCAGCCCCAAAATTCTAGAATTTAAAATAGTGTCGTAAACAAAGAGGAGGAAGGAGTCGGTTATGATCTGATCTTCTTAATCTGTTTTCCTTGGAAAAAAAATGATCAAAAAATTCTAAGGCACTCAGGAAAGCCGCATACAATCGATGGACTGCTCTGTTCTCACCTTACATTCAGTTTTAAGGGGTTATTTTTTTTTTTTGCTTTTTTTTGTTGTTTTCTTTTTTTCTCGGAAGAATACAATCATTACCATATAACATTTTCAAACATATCATTAATCCTCCACACACAGGAAACATTAGTGCAAAATGCTTGCCCTCATCTACCAGATAAGGAAAAACCCAACGCCCTTCACATTTTAGAAGTTTGCCTTCCTAATAACAATAATAATAATTAACAAAACAAACCCAAATCAGGAAGAAAAAAAAAAAAAAAAAGGAAAGGAAAAAAAAAAAAAAAGAAAAAAAAAACCCCAAAATATACAGGAAGTTGTGCTAGGTATAAAAATATATATTTTCACTGTGCAACTTGACTCTCTCCAGACTCTCTGTCCTAAGCCATTCAAGTACTTTGCTGCTGCCCCCCCGGTGGCCCCGCCAGCTGTCTGGGAACAGGTTTGGTCCAGAATTAATCCCTCCAGCCAAGTGCAGCCCCCAGCTGGGGGGCTCAGCCTGCTCCCCACCCCCAGCAAGTGCCAAAAAGGAGGAGGGAGAATCCTCTGCAATATCTTTTCTCTCTATATTTATATTTATATATATGCACACAGACACACACACAAGGGACGACTTTTGATCTCCGGCACCCGGAGCCACTCCCAGCTTGCCTCAAACTTTTGGCAAACCCAAAGATTTGGGGATCAGGAGGGTGCTCAACCAACCCTGAGCCCCACCAAGCTGGCTGAGCTGCCCTCCAGCAGGGGACAGGGACACCCCAGGGCCGAGGAATTGCTCAGTGTCCCCTGGGATGGCTCCCCCCGAGCTCAGCCCGTGGTCCCCGGGTTTGTTTAGTGGGTAAAGTGCAAATAGAGCCGTGCCCATTCCCACTTCTCCGAAGCATCCCAAACCTCTGCACCTGCACCAGCCCCCAAAACCTGGTCTGGGGTGTCACAGTCTCCCCCAAAAAGCTGTGCCAAAACCCAACGTGGGGCAGGATCCCCCCATCACTGATTTGTTGTGTCAGGAGCAGTGGCACAGGCTGGGCAGCCTCGTTATTCACGATGCAAAAAACTGCTTCAAGTATCAAAGAAAACAAAACAAATGGCCAAAAGTTGGGTTATCCTCTCCCCGCTCCCCCTTTCCCAATGGAAATACAAAGAAGGAAGAAAACCCTGAGCAAAGCGCTGTCTGGATTAGGGAATCGAAGCAGGAAAGAAAAGAGGAGCACAGCCACAGCAGCCAAAAAGTGACTCTTTGTGCACCTTGTTCCTAGTCCCAAACGTGTTAAAGAACAAGCTGCAAGTGTCATTAAAGCAGGTCGTTAAGTCACAGTAAAAATAATCATCATTGAAAAAGGAAAAAAAGGAAAAAAGCCAGACTTGGCTTTCACATCACTGTCCCCATCCCTTGGGGGCACCCCAGCAGTGCCATCCCCCTGGGACCCCCAGCCTGGCCCCAGCCCTCCGGGGGAAGCTGCAGCACCCCGGGTCTGCGGGACACTTCCCAGTCACTTTGGGGTTTGGAAAGGCGAGGGACAGAGCAGGTACCTGCTGCCCATAAGGCTCCAGGGACACCCACAGTCCCATCCCGAGGCCACCAAAGCCACCACAGCCTGGGGACATCAGCCTGCAACAACAAAAATAAAGACAAATAACTCCACATTGGGTTTTCCCCAGAAGGGGCTGCGGGAGGGTGAGCAGGAGGCAACGCGCTTCCTCCTCCCCAAAACCTCTTCACAGAAGGGCACAAAGCTTGTTTTTTCTTTTAATTTTTGCATCCAATACACTCCAAATTATTAAAAAGCGGGAACGTGGGTGGCCTGGGGAGGAGGAGGGGGCAGAGGGTGAGCTCTGTATGCACCGAGCTCTGCCTCCGGTGCGGATCTGCCAGGAGCCAACACCAAGAGCTCCCGACTCCGTGCCCTTTGGAGCCAGAAGAACGGTGCTCTCCATGCTCAGATTCCTCCCCAAATCCCTCCACAGGCTGAGGGGGGCTCCTCCCCTCCCAGGAGCTGCACCCAAGGGAGGGCACAGAGGGGTGACACAGCCCGGCCGCCCAGGAGCGGGGACGTGAAGGTGCAAACACGGAGAAGGAAAAGAAAAGGAATCGCTGGGAGGGAGGAAGGGAGGGAGAGAGAGAGAGAGAAACCAAACCTAAACCCAGCCTGGCAAAAACCAGACCACAGCCACAACGGCGGCCAGGCTCTCCACCTGCATCCCACAGCCCTCCCGACACGCGCCAGCCTCAACTCCCGCGGAATCCAGGGAAAACTCCCCGGGACAACAACGGCCAGGGCTCCCCCTGACTCCAGAGGGGTCTGGTCACGATCACTGTCACCATTTCCCCCAGCCCATCCCACTTGGCTCCAGCCCTTCCCGAGACAAACACGGCCAGTCACAGCACCTGCACCCCAACACACCTCGCTTTCCTGGTCAGTGACAAAACTCTCCTTTGAGGACAAGGTTAACCATGGCTTTACTTCTGAGCTGAGTGATGGATGGGGTGATGACGGGGTGGTGGTGGGTGGGGGGTGGCTAGCTTTTCTCCTCCCCTTCTTAAAACAAACAAACAAACAAACAAACAAAAAACCCAAAAAAAAAAAAAAAAAGGAAAAGAAAGGAAAAAAAAAAAGCTACAATCTTATAGACTAACCTCAGGAATATCAAAAAAGGAGCCCAATATTTTTTTAAGTAGGTCGCCACAGACCTAGTCGTTTACAGTATAACGAATGCGATTATTTCCTTCATAAATTTTAAATACAAGCAGAATAAAAATCACATTTTTTTCAGGCAACAGTAGCAGTTCAGTAGGTAAGTGGCTTGATCACATTTTTTGTTTTGTATTAGTAATGCATGCAAGCAGCTTTAGTATTACAGATCCCTTATAGGTCATGAAATGTTTGCTCTCTTTATAAAGTCCCTCCATAAGTACCATCTTGTCTTCTCACGGGGGTTTCGGGCCGGCTGGAGGAGCCCGAACCTTGTTCAAAAGGTTGCGGAGTGCTTTGGGTTTCCGATGCCATGGCATCTGTGGCAGCTGCCTCCTGGATCACGGAGCCGGAGCCTTCGGCATCCTCGCTCTGCTCGAAGGACTGGTTGGATCCATTGCTCAGCTCTACATTCACTGTGTTAGTTCTCAAGGCTACTATAGTCCCCGAGTCGCTCCTCCTCTCTGCATAGATGCGCTGCTCGAAGACCTGAGCAGTGTTGGGCTGGAAGTCGGGCTCCAGGGGGACAGTGTTTGTGGAGGAGCCCATGACGGTGCGGTACATCTCCATCCCCTCGGGCAGCATGGATTTGATCTTGGGCAGCCAGCGCTTGCGGACGCGACGCGCGTTGGTGCACATGTCGGCCGCGATCACGTTCATCTCGCTCTCCTTAAAGCTCGGGGCAAAATTCTGACAATACACTGCAAAGACAGGGAGACAGAGCTGAGGCTTCGGGGTGAGTGGCACAAAGGTGATCCCAGACTCGCGGGTGGGAGCGGAGCTTCAGCCGTGCACCTGAGCTCTCACACGGACCAAGCTCCTCCGCTGGGGACATGACCAGGAAGGGATAAAAGCAGAAGGTGTGAACACCCCAGCTGGCAGAGGGAGGGGGATGGAGAAGGGGACGGCTCCGTGGGGAGCCCCAGAGCCGGCACCCACAGCCCCAGCACGTGGGGATGGCCAAACCAGAGGTGAAGGAAGATCCCACAAAGTCCCCAGCAGCAGCTCCACAAATGGCTCCTAAAGCCCCAGCGCTGCAGGAAACGTCAGAGCTGAGGGGCTGCCCAAGGGATTGTCCTCTGCCTGTCCCTCTCCTCATGCCTCTGCTGGCACATGCCCTGGCACCCAGCAGGAGCCCTCAGTCCCTCGTGTCCTGCTCCTCTGCGGGAGCCAAGCGCCTGACGTTACAGAGCAGCATCCAAGGAACTGCCATGGTGAATAACTGCCAGCTAAAGCTCGTGCACAGGGAGAAATCCAGGCAGTAGGAACACATCCCATATCCTGCACACAACAACAACAACAACGCCCTTCCAGCCCCACTCAGGAGGGAACATGGCTGGGAAGGACAGAGTTGGGACTCTCCAGGAAAAAACTGAATCCCCCCTGTTCACCCACATTACTGAACATTCTGCCCTCTTATCCCTTTTCCCCAGATCTCCCAGGGCAGCTGGAAGGCTTCTGGACTCAACAGTTAGGGAAGGGAAAGATTTCTCTTCCAAATCTTAAAAACTAAATGAAAAAAAAAAAGCTTAGAGTTTTGTTTTTCAGCAGAGTAACAGTCACACAAAGATTTACTCCCCACAATTCAGCCAGGGTGAGCTCTTTTTATAAAGAATTATATATAAATATAAATATAAATATAAATATAAATATAAATATAAATATAAATATAAATATAAATATAAATATAAATATAAATATAGATAAATATAAATATAAATATAAATATAAATATAAATATAAATATAAATATAAATATAAATATAAATATAAAATATCACTGCATATGAAGCCCATGGCAAACAGATTTTCTGTACCCCTCAGGGTTTTCCCCAGCCCTCAGCTCCTCCCTCTCCAGCACCTCCTGGCCCAAAACACTCCAGGTATCCACAGGTGACTGCAGGGGAAGCGGCTGATGGAGAGGAAATCCCACCCACAGCTTCTCTGAACAATCAAAAAATGATGCAAACTAAAAAATAAATTGATTTTCCCACAGCCTAATTCCACATTATCACGAACAGAGTGTCTCTCCCTGCCCAGGGCCGGGCCAGGCAGTTCCCCCCAGCAGCAGAACATCCCTCTCTTACATTTGACTGCATTAAGGACCCTGCTGTCCAAGGGCTTCCTGCTGGGATCGCTCGTGGAGGACCGGATTCCAGTTCCGCAGCTGTTGGCAAGGGTGTTCCTGTGGGGAAGGCAAAGGGAGATCCTTGGAGAGGGGATCAGGGGACAAACACTGCCCTGCCCTCCTCCCCTCAGCTTCTGGAGGAGGGATCAGCACGGTTGGAAGGCGAGGAGCGGCAAAGGTGCGCGGAAATGGAATAAGGAAATGCACAGAGCCGGGCACAGAGGATGAAGGGCTGGTGACACAGGGTTAAACCCCAGGAGATGAGGGGAGGGGAAGGGGAGGAATCCTCTGGGAGAGCATGAGGAGCATGGGACGGGACGTACCGATCGAAGAAGGTGGCCAGGAGACGTCTCAGCAGGACCTTGTGTTTGACACCAGCACATAAATGGCAATTCATCAGCTGCCCCCGGGTGATGTAAACGCCTGAGCCTGCGAGGGTGGACAGGGACAATCCAAAATTAACCCCTGACACAGCCACAGAGCCACCCCTGAGCCACCAACAGCTCCTCCTCGCTGGTGGGAACCTGTTCTTCACCTGCTGCAACAAGGACAGAGGGATTTCTGGAAAATCCTGACAAATCCTTGGGGCCTTGGCAAGTTCCAGGCAATAACAACTCCTAATTTTATCTGTACAGACAGGAAGTCTATGGGAATCAAATGAAAGGACTCTTATTTTCTCACCAATGCACACAGTGCAAGGCTTACACTGTGATTTTAGATGTACAGACCAGATTATTTACTCTTTCTGAAGCGAGAAAACCCCCATCCACTTGGCCTTTTCTTTTTTTCCAGTGCAAGACTGTAGAACACAGAGCTGGAAATGAAAGGAAAAACCCATCCAGCACAGAAAGAAGTACTTGGTTACAGATCTAACTGCTTCCAAAACCCCAGCCCACCACCTCTTGATACTTCTGGTGAGCAGGGAGTTTTCCTTCTAATGCACAGGAACTGCTGCCTTTCAACATGCTGCCTTTAAGGATGTTTTCTGGAAGAAAAAGCAGCTGGACACATTTAGAGGTCTGGCAGCACTTTACAGCAGGTTTTATATCAAACCTTTTTACTCTGCTCACAGACCAAACTGCTCCTGCCTCGGCATTGCTTCCATGGAGAGGTTATCCCATTTTTCAAGCATTCTGTTACATGAGAGGGTTTTGGTATTTGCTTTTAATTAAGATTAAATAATGGGTCATAGCTGGATCCAGAATACACTCTGTTCTCAAGATATAAAAACATCTGCTGGAGAAGAAATATCTCCTCCTGGATTTCCAGGGAAGATGATTGTCCCTGACCTTCTGGATGGAGCTGGAGCTCAGGGCAGCCCCTGAGCCTGACCCTCTGCACCTCCCCTGGCACCGGAGGCACCCCAGGCCACTCATCCTGCCCCAGGATCCAGCATCACCCTGAGCCTCATCTCACCAGCAATTTTCCTTGTATTCTCTTCCATCTAATGAGGTTTTTTTGGGTTTTTTTTTGAGTAACAGCCTCAGTCCCTCCCTCAGACGTGCTGTGGTGACTGCAAGCCTTGTTAAAGACCCTTTTTCAGAGAGGGCTGCTCAAATTTGCTGAATCAATTGTGGCATGAAAAACCAGAAACAAAAGGAAAACACTCCCACTTGGAGAGTTGAGAAAAACTTTCATGGCAGGATCAAACCCCCCCTCCAGGTCTGAGGCAGGAATTAGGGGGGTTTATTTTGTGTTTTAAGAGATAAAGCATCAGAGAGAACCCCAGCCACCACCGAGGGGAACTTCACTTTAATAAATGAAAAATAACCAGGCAGCCACTATCAGTTAGTGATATTAATCTACTTTTTTTTCCAGATTGAAAAATGTAAATCAAGCAGAGTTGCCTCAAGCCAATTTACAGCTCTCACTGTGAAAATAACCTGCACCACTCGATGGTTTTAAGAAGTCTCACATTAAATGGGAATGGGTACAAAGTGAATATTCCAGATACAAAATAAATACTTGTGGTGCTATGCAGTGCCTTGCCTTCCATCAAAGTCCCATCCTCCATCAGCTGAAAACCTTTGTGGGCAACCCCTGAAATCCTGACTCCTTCTACAGACTGGAAATGAAATCATGCTACTCACCAAGAGAGAAATGACTGGAAGGGAAGAAGAGCTGATCTGGATGGGCTGTGCTGCCACATGCCCATGGACCAAGGGCTTTGCAGGGATTAATTAAACCTCCCCACCTGGGGCAGGGATGTCCTGCCCTGTCATCCCCTCACAGCTACATTTAAAGGAAAAAAACACAGCCAGGCCACTGCAAAGTAAAGCTGGGGGGGCTTTTAAAAGCAGAATATGATTATTTCCACTGGAATTTGACCTGGTCACTGCAGTTAAACACTTCCTGTGCAGTGCTGGGGGTGCCTGTGCAGTGCTGGGCTGGTTTCACTCTTCATCCAGCTCTACTCTGTCTAAGCAGCATCTTCCACCTCACACTGGCCAGAAATCTTTTATAGAGAAGGAGTCAATTCTCTCAGTATTGTAAATTCCCCACAAAATGAAAATAAAACAGGATAAAGGACCAAACCAAATTCCTTCACCCCTTGCTGCAGCATTTGACCACTTAGTTAATTTATAAAGAAACTTTTACAGGTTTTTCAAAGCTTGTTCACAAATTTGATCTCTTTTGCTTTGTAAGTCTTATAATGTGGTAATTTATGGGGGGGAGGCTGTTGGGTTTTTAGATCTGTGATTCTAAATGAAAACACACTCACTGCAGCCACACTGAGCAGGAAGAACACAAGCTGCAGAATTCAATTAAAATGCTAAATTAATTCAATTGAATAAATCCTGTTAATGACACATTTTTCTATCAGCAAATTAAAGCAAACTCAGAACTTTTCAAAAGACGATCGGAGACGAATAATCCAGAAAGACACAGCAAGGGCACACAAGATGCACGACTCCAGCAAGATGGAGAAGACAATTGCAGAAGGAAATCAGCAGCAATCCAAAGGGATTCTAAAGAAAAGTTACCTGCAACAAGCTCAAGTTTTTCTCCAGGATCTCCCTCCGAGTAGAGCTTTGGGTGGCAGCGGTACCCGATCTGGCTGATGAGACTGGCAGGGAGAGCCACCAGATCCCGTCGGATCAGGACACAGGAGCGGTTCTCCAGCGGGATCTGCTCTGGCTTCTCTTGGGCAACTTCAAAATTAAAAGGGAGAGCTGTTAAAAAAAAGCTTATCATGCTATTATCATGCTATTTTTATCATGCAGGCACCATGCTGACAGAAGGTCAGGCTTTGCCTTCTCCATGCAGCAGTTGGAAATATTCCCCCCTCCAGACACCCAACCACGTCCAGCCATGGGGCAGGTGCCACCTGAGAGCTTGGAAAAATCCCCTGGTCCCCGCCTCCATGGCAGTCTCAGGTTCTGCAAGAGGGATTCTTAGAATCTAACTATGCTTTAACTTCTCCTCAGTTAATCATTTGTGAAAATGGACAGCTCTGCACAGCTGGCATCGCTCTGCAAGTGCAGCACACGGAGCTGCTGCCCCAGACACCCCAGAAGGATGGCAGGAACTTCACCAGGGGGGTTCTAACAGGCAGTAAATTGCCCCAGTTTGATGAACACCTGCAGCAGTTCCATCATTACTTCTCTTGATGGTTTTTCCTGCTGAAGTTAAAACCCAGACCCTGCAGACACCTCTGTTCTGAGAAAGGTCACAGAGCCTCTCCTGAGATGCACCACCAGCCACCTCCAGCCCACCTTCTCTTCCTCTGCCTTCTGCAGGCCAACTTTTCCTCTCAGTAACAAGAGAAGCCCCCACCAACAAGGCAAGAAGTGTTATTAAGATGTAGCTTCAAAACCAAAATACCAGATTTCCCCAACTCGCTCTGATGCACCATCTCCAGAGCCCAGCACTGCCCAGGAGCAGCCAGTGACATGGAAAAGCTGGAAATGCTGCACAGTCCTGCCAGCACCTCCAAATCTGGGCACACAAATCTGGGTAAATTGTGGGCACACAGAGAATTGGTTTCTAAAGCACATTTACAGTCCAAGACCACCAGATTGCTTAAAATGACAATTTCTGACAGCAATGAGGGCTGGCCATGTGCATCAATTCAGGACATGGTGGGGACACACTTCCAGGGCTGAACTGCAAGCCCAGCTCTACCATGATGCCCCTTTTTTTCCCCAAAACTGTTTGGTAATGTGTCAAGTGCCACACACAAACCCAAACCCAGCTCTGTGCTTGAATATCTGTGAACACTGAGAGAAGCAGCAACCCCAGCAAGGAGCATTTCTGAACTCAAAATGTCTCCTGCTCCAGAGGTGTCTTTTCCTGCGATTATCCTGGAGTTCTGGGGGCCACTTTTCCTCTCTGCAGATAAAATAACAAGTTTTGCAGACTTGTTGCTGCAGTAACCGAGGGCGATGGCTCAGGGACAAAGGGAGCAGTGTTCTAAGTAGGACATGCCCGCGGTGCCGTGCTGGGCTGTGGCATCCTATCGCAGGCTCCGGGAGCATCCCCACCCTCACGGCTCCCCCTGGGCCTGAGGAACACCAGGAGGGATTCTGGAATACCAGGGGGATGTTCCTTACTTGGGGAGAGCAGCGTTTCCTTCGGGGAGAAAGGACCCAACAGCAGCAGAAGAGCTCACGGGGTGTTTTTAAACCTCTTGTGCCATCTCAGCCCTGTTAGCTGTGCCATTGACATTCCCAACTGCAACATTCCCTGCATTCCCAAGCATCCAGATCCAAGATCCCGCTGGAGATGGGGGTCAACTCCCACTGAGGGAGAATCTCAAAGACCAGCTCTATTTTGAGGCTTTTAAAGAGCGTTGAGCAAAGCAGATCCAATGAAATGCTGATATTTTCCAGCTTACAGGAACTGGAAGCAGAGGCACAGGGGGTATGGAGGAACCAGTCCTGCTCTGCTGTCCTTCCCTGGATTTTTGGCTCTGGCAAGGCAGGGGTAGCTTGAGGAGAGGGAGGGACATCTCAGTCATCTCCCAGAGGCAAAATTTTACTCAGAGGTAAAATTAAATACACACCCCCTAGGAGCTGTTTATGTGACCTCCAGAACCCCACCCCAGCACAGGGCTCTGTCCAGGTTATTAAAATTGAATTTTTAATATTTCATTTTTACTTTAACCAAAGACTCAACTCAAAGGCACCCACAATATCCATCAGCACCCAAAAAACAGTGGAGCTGCTGGAGGGAAGCAGAATCCTGCATGGACTCTCAGATTAGAGGCCTCCAGGTATTTTTTAAGTGATATAAAGTGCAGGTTTCCAGGGAATGTAGTTGCAATCAAATGAGACAGAATTCAGAGCAGCCTGTGACCCGATACTGCTGTGAGGAGGAAACCCCAGCCTTGAACCCTCCTCTGTTTTTCATCAAGACTCTTCCTCAAGATTGTTTTCTTTGAAGAAATTAAACACCTAGAACATCCAAGTGGAAACAGTTACAGTGGGCAAGGACAAACCCACCTGCTCTACCACCTTCCACAGGCAAACATTCCCTAAAACCCCAAATTTGGGGGGCAAAGGGATCCTACAGTAGCACTAACGAGGCAGGGAAGAGAAAGATCAGCACGAGCACTGCGTTCATTCTCCCTCCACGAAGAAATCTTGAAGGATTTGGTGTCAAACCTCTTCCCTGAAAGAACAGCAGCTTTTCAGGACAGGTTTGGGACAGTCCTGGCTTGAAGAAATTCTTTGATTCTGAAGACATTTCACTTTCTACACAAGAAGACACGGAGAAGTTTCTATTCCTTCCTGTGAAATCAAATACTTCATATACCAAACTAAAATTCAGCTAAAAAGTCCAAGTGCAACTCAAGCCACTGCTGGATTTTGGTTACATCTGTCCTGCTGGCTCACTGTCTATAAATCTCTTATTAAACACAGCCATGGATCATTTTGGGAGACTTTGTTTCCATTCAAGCGTTAGCACAAAACCAACGATACCAAACAAAAAGATGTTTGGGGCTTTCAGTGGCACCTCAATTGAGCAGATAGCAATCAGTTATGTAAAGGAGCAGGACACAAGAGCCACTTTGGTCCCATGTTTCCAAAGAAAGCCACTCTGTTTGGCCTTTCTGCTCCGGAGAACAGGAGAGTATTCGCTTCTAATTAATTTGTATCTTCAGAGGGCAGCAGCTCCTTCCCTTTGAATGAAAGGGCAAACAATGGGAAGTATTGTTAAATACAGTTTTGTTCCTGAGCAAGAAAGGAGCTCCCAGCCAGTAGAGAGGGGCAGGAAATCATTACAGAGGAAGCCACGAGAGCTGCCAGCCAAACACTGGAATATTTTATTTATTTGGATATATGCTTTTATCCCAAACTTAACTGGATGCTGCAGCTGCAACAGGTGGTGCAGAACGGGAAATACTCACTTGCCTGGATTTTTTGGCTGAAGAAACAGCCTCAAGCAAACTCATTGGTCTGTGCTCCATGGCTCCAGGCTCTGGGGCACATGTCCACCTTTTCCCTAAAACACACTGTCCCCTCCAGAGGTCCCTTACAGCACCTTAGTGCTGAGCCCACAATGGTTCGGTGACATTGGAATTTTTTTGTCCCCTCTGAGGTGTTTGGGGCCAGATTTGCTGGGGATGGGCTGCTCAGGTGAGTGCCTGGGAATTGCAGGGCACACACCTGGCTCCAGCACTCATCTCCTCATTTCCTAACGAGCCAAATACCAGGGCTTCAAAATGAGTCACAAACCCCAATTCCCACCAGTTCGGGTCTCCAAACTGCACATGAACATCAGGGCTCTCCTGTGGGCAAGAAACAACTGTTCCTGGTTAGGAATGACATTTGGAGATACAGAAAGATCAGTGATGGAGCCTCACCCAAAAATTGATGTTTACAGAGTCCCAACATGTAACCACACATCTCAAACCCTGGCTTGAGAACCCATCTCCACCTGCTCCACCACAGATGCAAACACGTGGATGGCTCTCCCCTGTTCCCTACATGGCCAAAAGTCTCTTTTCAAACAGCAATATTTTGACAACATTTCTCTCCCATCAGCCTACTTTCCACTCGGACCACCCCAAAAATGCCTTCTCTCCACAGCCTCAGCATCAGCAGCATCTGCTGCAGATGTAAACCTGTAGCAAGGACACACGCAAGCGCCATGGGCTAGATCCATCACGGAGTCCCAACGGGGAGAGTTTACATTTCCCAAATAGTACATTTATACCGATGTACTGAAATGTAGCTGTTTGATTTGTGACCTATTTATACAGGGAGGTAATCTGGAATTAGTATAGGAAAAATATTACTGGTTTATAAATACCCCTATCTTGCCTTCGCCTCAGATCTCAGCCAGGAGTGAAACATCTGCCAGCCTAAAATTAAACATCTGTGGTTCAGAGTGAGGAAAATGGGGCTGGAAGTTTAATGCCAAAAAAGGCCAGAGGCTGAGTGCCCCCGGCGTGGGGCTCAGCCTTCCCCCTGCCCAGCTCTGACCCTGCCGGGCTCGGGATGGGGCAGCGCCACCACAGAGCCACTCAGCTTGGAAAAGACCTCCAAGACCATCAAATCCAATCTGTGACCAGTCCCTGCCTTGTCACAGAAAGACACACACCCTGGCTTTGCAGCAGTGTCCAGCTGTTTGAATCCCTCTGCAAGATCCAAATCGCTCTGCTGGATAACCGGCACACCCCCGACCGCTTCATTTCCTAAAACTCCGCGAGCTCTTTGCTGCTGAGCATCCTCCCTGTGCACAGCCTGGCCACCACAGGGACAAGGGGGACCTGGCAGGGTCGGGTCCCTGTCCCTGCAGTCCCAGCCAGCTGCTCCATCCCGCTGCAATTTCCCGGCGTCGCAGCCGTGATTTACGTCGCTGCAGCGCGTCGTGCCCGGGCTGCGCTCGGGATGCTGCACGGGCTGCATCATTTGGGATTCTGGGTTGTTCCTTGCCCTCTTTCCTTACTGTCAGGAATCAGAGGCCAGGAGAGAAAACTATTCTCTCAGCTAATTACCACAACTATTCTATAATGGCTATTTTAGATGAATTTTTAATGAAGTGTGCTCTTGTCAGTTCAGGATTTCATAACTTTCAAGTCCAGCCTTTACATTCCAGCCATTTGCTGCATAAAGATTTTCCCTTTTCCCAGCAAACCGGTGCAGCAGGAGCAGGGGAGGAGGACGGACCCTCGCACAACTTCGCTGGTGCCTGTCAAAATTAAATTAACTGCATCTGCTCAGCAGAGAGCTGACTGACAAGAACGTGGCTCGGTGCAGAAAAGCGCCGAGCATCTGCAAGTCCTGCAGAAACCCACTTCAGCTCAGGCCCACGACGCTGTAATTAACAGGGATAAAAATACTTTGCTTTTGTTTAATATTTTCTGGAGTTGTGCGTTCCTCAGATCAGATGCTGGAAACCTCATTAAGTCTCGCTCGTGTCCTCGAGGCCCACATGTTCTCCACAACCAGACCTAGTTATGGAGTGAGGAGCCATTTTACCGCAGTGCTCCCAGCCCGGCACGGCGCCGGTGACACCGCGCCCGCCCAGCGCGGCCAGAGCCTGCGGGGAAACTGAGGCACCTCTTCCCACCCCCCTCTGCCGTCTGCCACCCTGTCTGCCAACATCTCAACCTGACCCTTCTGTGTTTAATTCTCATCCTGCTGTTCCTTTTGTTTCATTTTTGTCCTGGTCCCTCACACCAGTGTCACCACTGCAGGTGGCACCAGCCTCTTCTCCCAGGTTTCCTCCAGGAGGAAACAGCCTCAAGCTGTGCCAGAGAAGGTTCAGGTTGGACATCAGGAGGAATTTCTTCATGGAGAAGGTGTTCAGGCATTGGAAGGGGCTGCCCAGGGCAGTGTTGGAGTCCCCATCCCTGGAGGTGCCCAAGGAATGACTGGACACGGCACTCAGTGCTCCTGCTGGTGTTTGGTCAAAGTCTGATCTTGGAGGCCCTTTCCAAGCCTAAGGATTCTATGATTTGGAGATGTGGCTCTGATCCAGCATTGGAGATTTGGAATGGTTCTGACTACAAAAAGGGGTGAAGAAAATAAATTAAAAACCCCCAGCCTTGGGACAAGGCTGACCTTGGTGACCCTTCCAAAAGTGGTGGGTGGTGCTGAAGGCAGGTGAAGAGCATCATCCACCAGTGTCCCACCACACCCTCACCAGCCTCAACACTTCAGATGGGGAACAAAAAAACAGAAAGAAAGAAGGAAAAAAACCCAGCAACCTTCTCTGAAATTCAGGGCTTCATCTGCTCTGCTCCTCTTTGGCTTTGTTTTTGTTTTCACAAACTGGGCTCTTGGAAACCTTGGCAATCCCTATTTTAAAGGGCTCCCCCCTCCCCCAGGCCTTTGTGAGGCTGTCGGGATCTCCATGCCAGGAGCAGGATTAGCTGCCTTCTCTCTTCCATCTTACGGTTTCATTATTCTGCACCTTTTCAGAGGGTACACTTTATCCTGAGTAATTAAAACACAGTTAGCTCTACAAGTCCAAACCATAATGGAACAGCTTAGGTTTTACTTTTTGTAATCTCTTTTTCACGTGCCCTCTTTTCCAGGATGCCTGATACCTATAGCTGGCTTATTTCAAACAGGAAATTCCCCACAAAGGTGCGGGTGCGGAAGAGGAGTTTCAGCAGAAGTGTGGGATATTTAGAGCCTTACAACCTGCCTCTTCCCTGCATGGCCTCAGCATCACCACCTGGTTCTCCCTACAGAAAACAAGCAGGAAAACCTGGCTGTGGGATGCCCAGCTCTGGCACAAGGGCTGCAGCATCTCCAGTGACACCTGAGAAAGCTGCTCGGATTTTCGCTTTTCCGACTGGGAGGATTCCTGCCCGACAAGGATTAGGGAGAGGCTCAGAGCTGCTGCCTGCACCATCCCAGGGCTGCTCCTGTCCTTGCCTTCTGACTTGGTTTTGTTCTGTTTCTGCAGGAACTGGCCCTGTGACAGGGATGGAAAACACAGTCCAAGGGCATAATCCCACTGCTCCGAGGAGTAACGCTGAAGGCAAACCCACATTACTCACCACAGGCTCTATGGCAGGGAAAAGCAAAATCAACCCAAAACAAGTGGGCAACAGCACAATTCCTGTTCACTCTGGCTCTAACAGCAGCCATGGAGGAGACCCTGACCTTGTCCCACCCCTGATCCCACTCCTCTCCTGCCCCATCCCAACCACTGGGACGTGAAGCAAGGCAGGGAGAGCACTCAGGCTTTTGAGTCTCATTTCCAACAACTGCTTGTCCACTTTTCCTAGCAAATATTTCTAATATTAAAATAGTAGCTTCTCTGTGTTTTCCCCCTTTTTCATATGGCTGGGTGAAAAAAAACCCTTCAAAACATGGCTTATCTGCTCACTGTCTGGCAAGAGAATGTGCCAAGAGGATGCTGAGCTCCTGTTCCTGGGATGGGATGGGACAGTTTGTGGGGCTGAGCCCATTCTCAGTACTAAGGAATCCTGGCTTTAGGTAACAAAAATTGTCCTATTTGCCAAATCTTGTTCCTTGGTGAAGACTAAAATCAAATGGCTTTGAGGAAAGCTCATTAATGAACTAGAGTTAAAATATTTGCAGCATTAGTGCAGCAATTCCAGGAGCCAGAGCAGGGAAGCAGCTCCAGGCGAGGGGATGCTGCGTGCGGCCGGAGCTGGCCGGAAGATGTCCCTCCCTGGGGAGCTCCTGAGGATCAAAGCTGCTGCCACAAACACCTGCAGCTCCCACAGGGAGGCTGAGCTTCCATGTGGGATGCTGCCAGCTCCATCTGTGCGGGGTGCTGGAGCTGCTTTCACATGGGATGCACACAGGACAGCACCCAGCGGGCATCTCCCCTCTGGAACTGAGCTCCTGGATCCACATCCCACCTGGCCTGGCTCCTCAGGAGGGTCTGAGCCCTGCCCAGGGAAAAGGGCTGTGTGTCCAAGGAAGTGGAGGGAAAGGACCTCTCATGTCCCTGTGCTTCACCTTGGGGCTGAGCAGCAGCTCCCAGCCAACAGCACCAAAGTGAAGCCACCTCCTTTGTCTGAGGCCCATCGAGGGATTCGCATTCATCCCTTAATCCCAGATTCTGGAAGGGCAGGAGAGGGATTTTACTTAGTTCTGGGCACTGTGTTTCTAATGGGGAAATAAAAGAATATCAAGCCTTCAGATTGCTTTTCCCTTTCTGACAGTGATGTGTGGGACAAGGCTGGCAAAGGAGAGAGGGGCACTTCAGGCAGTGGAGAGAAAAGTCCATCTTCCCTTCCTCCTGCAGATATTCAGAGTTAACTTCTATAAAAATGATTTAGTTGATGTTCTTCTCCCTTCCTTTCTCCAAATAGCACATGTTCATCACTTTTTTGGAAACTCTTATTCCAAAAAGCCAGGACAGAAGACAACTCCCAAAGTGACCACCTCGCGCTGGGCCACAAGGGCTGGTGCTTCCCTTGCCGTGGATGACCCATGGCAGGTGAGCTCGGCCATCACCTTGGGATGGATGTCACCACCACAGGGCTCACGCAACCACCAGGCTCCTGGCTGGCAGCCTCAGCCAGAAAGCAAAGGGCTGAGCTGACCCTGGTGCATGATGCAGCCTCTCATGTGAAGTCTCCCAGCTGGGGAGTGACGGCACAGGGGGGCCCTGCCCTCGCCACACCTGGACACCAGCACCACGCGAGCAAAAACCAACAAATGAAACCCCTGAAGACAACAGCCTGGTGAACAACCCAAAACTGCCCATGGTGGCCGGACGAGGACCACAGAACCACTGAGAAGGAGCAGAAAACCCAAGGAGAGACAGAGAGACATCCATTACCAGAGTAACCTCCCGAGGACTTGATGTACATCTGCCCGTACTGCTCCTCCACCATGGTGTCGTAGGCCTCGTCGTCCTCCTCGTCCTCCTCGTTGTGGTAGGAGGTGGGGCTGTCGGTGGTGGGGATGCTGCTGGCGCCGGGGCTGGTGCGCTCCCCCTGCGAGTACTGCACCTGCTGCACGTTGGGGATCAGGGTGGCCAGGTTGGGCATCCCGTAGTAGGAGACGCGCGACAGCTTCAGGGGCCCCGCGTTGGCGCCGCCGGCGCCGCCGGGCCCGTCCCGCGCGCCGGGCTCCAGGGGCCGCTTGCCGGGCAGGCCGGGCAGGGCCTGCAGCTCCAGGTTCTCGTGTTTGACGCGCGTGAGGAGCGGGATGGGCATGGAGGGGGACATGACGTAGGGCGCCGAGGCCGACTGCAGCTGGTTGCAGGGGCTCTGCGGCTCCGAGCTGGGGTCTTCGATCATGGTGGTCTGAGAGTCACAGTGGGGAGAGCTGACCTTGAACATCAAGTCCGTCCCTTTCTCCACGATGTGCTGGATCTGCAGGAAGCCTGCCGTGTACATCACCACCAGCTGCTCGCTCGCCGCCATGGTCAGCTTGCCGGTGTAGCAGAAGGACAGGATCTGCTGGAAGCAAGCGGGGGGGACGGTCCCCGGCAGCTCAAAGGCGTTTTTGCTGTTCCCACTGAACAAGTCTCGGAAGTAGAGGCTGCTGGCGGCCAGCACAGCCCGGTGAGCCTTGAAGGCTTGGCCCTTCACCACGATGGAGACATCGCAGTACAGCCCCAGCAGCCGCTGCTCGTTCAGGCAGCCCAGAACGGTGTTCCCGAAGTTGGGAATCTCTATGTGCAACATCTGCGACATGGCTCAGGATCGGCTGGAGCTCCTCAGACATTCAATGCAGGAATATCCAAAGTAGGGCACATCTGAAAAACGGAGAAGGCAGGGAAGAGAGGAACAACGTTTTTAGACAGTTCACCAAAGCAGGCAGGAGCACAGGAGCCCACCTCACCCGACATCAAAGGCTCCAAGCCAAGCTCCGAGAGCCAAGGCGGAAAAGCGATCGCTTATAAAAATTGCTTATCGATGGTTTCCAGCGACGTTGGGGATGCTATTGGTGGATGGCAAAGGATATCCCAAAAATGCAAGTTTTTCCTTCAATGTGGTCTGTTTAAATAAGCACCACTGATTTATTCCCCCAGGGGTTTTTACTTTATGCAGGAAAATCTGAACGATAATGGGAGAGAACAGTAAAGCAAACGAAAGGCAGTCAGACGGATCTCGGTAGCATTATATAAGAAACACAACAACCAGCAGCTATGTTGAAACTACAGAAAAGATATTTATAAAACAATGTGCCATTCTGCCCGAAATAAATACAGGATTCTGCTGGAGCGAGAGCTCCCAGGAAAAAGCACTTTGAAAAGCAATCTTCCCATTTGCACCAGAAAGAGGGAGCATTTCAACAGTTAAACCCCTTCTCAACAGATTTATCCTCCAACAAAACGAGGCTTATCTCCAAATTAAGCCAGATATTTGAGCCCCAATAAAACAAACCAACGTGCCTGCCGCAGCGAGCCGCCTACCAAGTTGTCTTCTTATTTTCCTCCCCCAGATCCCGAGCAGGGCAGGGGGAGCCCCAGCCCAGCCCCTGGTGCAGGCAGAGCCCCCAGCCCCCAGCCCGGTGCCCCCGGTACCGGCGGTGAGAACCCTTGGAGCGACCCCGCGCTGGAGGCGGCAGCTCCGCATCCCACCACGGCCGCTCTTCAGGACCGGCTGTACCTTTTGGCCGTGGGCAGAATTCCTGCTTCCACCTCCCAGGAAAAAAGAGCCTGGCCTTGGGAGGACCTGGTGCGCAAAGCCGGAGCAGGTAGCGCTGGTGCAGCCTGGGCGCTGAAACTCCAGCGGAGCAAATCACTGCGGATTCACCGAGCCCAGACCCCCCCGTGCTCCCTCCCCAAAGAGTCCAGGAGATTTAAAATCCTGCCTGCCTGTGATACTACTGAAGAAAAACTACGTTTAACTAATACTGAAAGCTCAGAAGAATGATATTAAAAAAAAAAAAAACAACCAAAACAAGAAAACGAAAAAAAAAAATATAGAAGTTTATCTGAGAAAGATTACAAAAAAAAAAAAAAAATCTCTGGAAAGAAAATAATAACCCACAAAGAGCTGCTCTGTTCCCATTGCCGAGGGGAAAAAAAAAAGAAAGAAAAAAAAAAAAAGTCCTATCTGCAAGGCCACGGGGTAACAGGAAGAAAAGGGAACACACTCGGAGCCAATTTAATTGTATCTGCATGGTTAAAAAAAAAAAAAATTCTTCCAAGCGAGGAAGTTCGCGGTGCCTTCGCCTGGCCGGGAGCGAACGTACCTTGAGCAGCGTCCCCGGCGCCGCCGCTGCCGAGGGGCTCCCGTCCCCCGACCGCCGAGTGCTCAGGGGAGGGGGAAAATAAAATATAGTATCAAGCCCTGGGTTTGTATCTGCTGGAGCTCAAGCTTTTACCAAGTCAAATCTCCCCGGCAGCGCACAGCATCTAAATGAATAGGCCGGATGCAGATTAACATTCAGGCTGCTCTCTGCAATGAATAGAGCCCTTTGATTAGGGACCTGAAGTAAATGCCAGTTTCAAACCGAAGCTTTAAAAACAGAGAAATATCAGTGCCAGAGGAATGCTCTCAGTGTTGGTACAAGACAGACTTTTGATGAGTCACTGCAATGCAAACAAAGATGGCAGAAATACTGTACTGTATGCTGATGAAATGCTTAGTGGTGCCACGGCAACTGAGACAGGTTTTAAATTTATAGTGCAGTTTTGCATATGAATTACGCTGTAAACTGCCTCCCCTGCCATCTAGTACATCCAGAGTGTCAAAGCATTTAAACTATTCCAAACAGTCTGCAGAGCTGGCACTGCTGCTGGTTAACTCCTGCGGCCAGGGGAAGGCACGGAACAGGGGTGGAGAGCATCCCCTGCATCCCCCCAGCATCCTCCTGTACCCCCAGCATCCCCTGTATCCCCTCCTGCATCCCTGAGCATCCCCCTGCACCCCCAGCATCCCCTGTATCCCCTCCTGCATCCCTGAGCATCCCCCTGCATCCTGAGCATCCTCCTGCATCCCCTCACATCTCCCCAGCATGCCCTCAACATTCTCCTGCATTACCCCTGCATGTCCCCAGCATCCTCCTGCATCCCTCCAGCATCCTTAGCATGTCCCCTGCATCCACCCCAACATCCTCTGCCTCCCCTCCAGCATCCCCTGCATCCCCTCAATAACCCCTGCATCCCCTCAATAACCCCTGCATCCCCTCAACAACCTCTACATGACCCCCAACATGCTCCTGCCTGATCCAGCATCATCCCACCTGGCCCAGCATCCCACCCCAAGTGCTCCCCAAAAGCACCTGCCCAAAAGCACAGCTTTGGCAAAGCCCAAATCTGCCCAAAATAAAGGTGCTCCTTGGGCAGCCACAGTCCTGCTTCCTGCCCCCCAGATCCTTCCCCCCACCAATACAAGAAAGCCTTTCAAATGCAGGAAAAATGTTTACCCCTTGGGGAAAGCTTCTTTCAGTCTGTGGCTGAATCCACTAAAAGCAAATCCATTTGCTTAAGTAATGAAATCCCAGTCACATTGTCTCCTGGATTCAGATTTTAAATTACCTTCGCATTTATTGAGCATGTTTGGTGCTTTTTTTCTGGGAAAGAGGGTGGGGCCTCCCTTTGCTTATTTCTCCCTTGCCCTGAGCGTTTTTCCTTGTGCCATTGGCCTCGGATTTGGTTCAATTGCTGCGCTCAGATGGTCACACACAGTTAAAATTCCGGGGATGAGAGGTGAGGCCATCCCTAGAGCAGGATAACTGCAGGGAGCACAGGGCTGGTGATGCTCCAGCCTGACCCTTCCCTCCTGATCCTGCTCACAGCTCCACTTCCACATCCAAAGGGATGTTTGGTGCATTAAGTTCAAGTCTGGGGCAGGGAAGTGAGCAAACCCCTCTGACACGGCTGCCCTGGATCCCACAGGACCTGCAGCCTGACGGAGCCTGGAGAGCCACGCTGCTCCCACACCATTCCCTGCCTTGGGAATGCTCAACACACTCATCCAAACCCCCCAGGAGCTCATTGGGGTCTCTGCTGAGCGCTGGTGAGGAGGTGAAGGCGTTGGGAGGGGACCAAGGTGACATCCCGTGAGGAGATCAGGGGTGACACCACAACAACCACGCCCGAGAGCCCAAAACCTCTCCCAACCACGACACCACCCATCTCTGCTGGAGAAAGGATGGAATCTGCCCTGGCAAATGAAGATCCACTCTGGATCTGTGAAAATTACTGAGAAAAACCTGAGTTACAGAAAAAACATCACTGCTCAGACACCTGAGGAAGCCCCATCCACGGTGATGGGAAGAACGTGGGTGGAGAAGGATTTCCTCCTCTTTTCTTCCAGGAAGGGCTCCCCCAGAGCTGGAGAAGACACCAGGGAGGCCTTGGATGGACCTCCTTGGACCCAGCAGGACAGGATGTGTGGGACCAGCCAAGGACAGCTCGGTAGCACAGAACAAGCCAAATTTAAAATAAATATCAATTATTAATATTAGAATTTGCTCTATAAACAAACAGGCTTGTCAGGAGCAATCCCTGTCTCTCCCTATAAACACCAAAATGTGCTGGTTTAGGGTATGTTTAAGCCAGAGAGAAGCAACGAAGTGTCCCAGCATCCCAAACCTGGCAAATCTCAGCTAAAACCTCCCAAGAGAGTTTGAACCAAGATGCTCCACACAATTGGTCCCTCCTAAAATGCAGCTCTCAGGGAAATGGGGGGAAGCCACAGTGTTTAGTTTAGAAAGAGCATCAAGGAACATAAGCAAAGCCACCCAAGGAAGCTGCAAAAGCCCAAACCACCCCAATAAACCATCAGCCAGGACTGCTGGAATTTCTTCGTCTTCCTCCCTCTGCCCCTTCCTTTTTATGACCAGAATATATAAAAAAGCTTCCCAAAATCCAACCCCAAACCACCAACAACCCCAAATCATGAAGAAATGAAATAAAAGTCTTGAAAGCCCAGGAGAAGCTTCTCACCACCAAACCTCATGTTCCCTAAAAACAACAGCCATGAAAAGCCACTGTGATTAGACAGCAAATGCAATAAAGCTTGATAATTTCTATCTTTAAAATTCCTCTATTAAATATGATCATTTTTCTTTTAAATAGAGCAGCAAGTGACTTTTGAAGGGTTGGAAATGGCTTCAGCCCATCTGACACAGGAAGAGCTGTGCTGCAGGAGGAATGACCTTTGCAATTACAGATGTAAACTGTATTTTTCCAGTCTCATCTCTCAAGCTGAGCTGTGTCCCAAGGTGCAGGAGGAGCCCCCAGCATGAGCATCACCCCAAAAAATCCAGTCCCCTCTGGGCTGGAGTGTCCTACAGGTGACAGATCATCAACTGGACATCTCCAAATGGGAAAACCTGGATAAAACTGGATTAAAACCAGACAAACATCCCCCACCATGATCATTTTATGTATGTGACCATTCAAGCAAAACAACATTTTGCTTTCTGATGACAGCCTCTTTTTCCTGCTCGTGGATACGGGGGGATAATTTGTACATCTGCCTGATTTTTGTAAAGTCATAGCCTTTGTCACAAGATGTTCATAAAAAATGCAGCCGTTATTTGAGACAACTTCCAGGAGAGTTTGGGAATTCTCAGTTTCTGCATTCATCTGCTTTGGGGGAGAGAAAAAAGCAGGTTTGCTCTTTTCCAAACTAATTCCCTGCTCCGAGGCCTGAAAGGTCAGGGCAAGGCGACAGCAACAAAGGAAAAAAGCATCGACCTAGAATAAGATGCTGCCATCAGAGCTCCCCCAGGAGTAATCAGAAATAATTAGATAATGTATTTAAATTGCCTTTTTTCTTCACCAAACAACAGAGAGACTCGGTGGAGAATCATTCCCCCAAAACCCCCAAATATCCCCCAAGTGCTGCAGCTCCCCAGGAAGGTGAGCTGGGCAGCAGCTGGGCCAGGGACAAAGGGACAGGGACCCTCTGGGGGTGGGAGACAAAGCAGCCAAAGGCTTTCACCCCCCCAGCCAAAGCCCCAGGAAAGAAAAGAGCTGAAAAGTCCTGCCCTTGAAGGCCTCAAAGGGTCAAAGGAAACTTCCCTTTCTTCTGTAAATGAGAAGGGTAGTGGGAGGAAAATCCCACCCTTGGATTTGAGGCTAGCAGGGGGATGTCACCCAGCTGGGCAGGGGGTCCCCAAAGCCACCCAACCCCACCAGGCACAGGGGTGGCACCTGCCCTGCTCTCACTGCAGGGTTTGGGGGTTATTTCCCCATTTTTTAATGCAAAGGAAATGTAAAAACCCAGGGGAAAATATGCAACAGCTCACTGCAAACTCAGTATTATTCCCTGAGCCCGGAGATGCTGTAATGCCTCAAATAAAATAAAGAGTTAAATAAAATAGAGTTAAGTAAATGAAAGAGTTAAGTAAAATAAACAGCTAAAGAAAGCCAAATAAAATGCACTTCAGGTCTAGGCTGAGCATATTCCCCCCACCCCTGCATCACAGCCTGTGCCAGGAGCCAAGAAGCCAAAATGAGAAGTCTTTGCACACCCACCCCAAAAACTGAGCATCCCCTCTTTGAGGTGAGAAAATCCAGGAGGGGAAGGGAGAGGGATTGGGGCACAGGTTTGGATTCCTGCACAGTGTTTGGCAGGGGCAAGAAAACAAGGTTAAGTTCAGTAATCAAATGGCAGTGAGACTCCTGCAGCACTGATATCTGCAGCTCCAAAGTATTTATTTTTGAAATGCTGCAAGTGGCAAGCGGCGCGGACGGACCCTATTTTTAGTGTAGCAGCCAGTGGCAATGGGTGAAAGAAGATTATTTCTGCCTTATTAAGAGCAGAAAGTGAATTTGCAAATATTAGTCAGTAACACACGGGCAGCCCACACGCAGCAGACATGCAGCACGGAGCCACCGCGGCTCCAGCATCCTCAAAGTTCGCACGGAAAGTACGGCCCCGGAGGCTGGGGCAGGGAATGGGGGGGAAAAGATGGAAAAGTGAATTGAAATGGTGCTGATGGTGCAGCTCAGGAGGTGTGGGCAGCCCGGGGATGGGGTGCTGGGAGCTCAGTCTGGGACCCCGGCGCTGCCCTGGGGGCTCTCCCTGGGGACCTGGCAGAGCTCCAAACGTCCCTCCATGGGGAGCTGGCACAGCCCCGAGGGGGCTCTGCTCAGGGACCCTGGCACAGGACAGGCACCGCTTTTTGGGGACCCCTGCACAGCCCCGAGGGGTCTCTCCTTGGGGACCCTAGAACAGGACCGGGCACTCTTCCTGGAGACCCCAGAACAGCCCTGGGGGCTCTTCTTGGGCACCCTGGCACTGCCCTGGGGGTCTCACCCCAACCCCTGGCACTGCCCCAGGGTCTCACCCCAATCCCTGGAACAGCCCTGAGGGGTCTCTTTATGGGGACCCCAGAACTGCCCAGAGGGGTCTCTCCATAGGGATCCTTGTACAGTCCTGGGGACTCTTACTGGAGACCCCAACACTGCCCTGAGGGGTCTCACCCCAAACCCTGGCACAGCCCTGGAGGTCTCACCCCAATCCCTGGCACTGCCCTGGGGGTCTCACCCCAATCCCTGGCACTGCCTTGGGGGTCTCACCCCAATCCCTGGCACTACCCTGGGGGTCTCACCCCAATCCCTGGCACTACCCAGGGGTCTCACCCCAATCCCTGGCACTGCCCTGGGGGTCTCACCCCAATCCCTGGCACTACCCAGGGGTCTCACCCCAATCCCTGGCACTACCCTGGGGGTCTCACCCCAATCCCTGGCACTACCCTGGGGGTCTCACCCCAATCCCTGGCACTGCCCTGGGGGTCTCACCCCAATCCCTGGCACTACCCAGGGGTCTCACCCCAATCCCTGGCACTACCCAGGGGTCTCACCCCAATCCCTGGCACTACCCAGGGGTCTCACCCCA